TAAAGCAGGCTTAAACAAAAGACTTAACTTTTTGGTATTCCCACATTGAGACATCCAGGGCTTTCTTCATGGAAATGTGGAGAACCCAGAAGTGTCATCTGCTCACAGAATTGCTGACTTAGTGGCAGGTGATCAAAGGATGAAATATCTATCACTTGAGGTTCATTTACAAATGTCTTAGCTCCTTCTTAGGCTTTTTTATAAGTAGCTGGATGTTACAAGTATTCAGTGCATGAACCTCCCTGGAAATCTAATCCTGAGTGTAGGAACTGAGCTCTTGAAACTCCACCCTGGTGTGTGTTCATATGGGTACCTCAGAGCACCCACGTTAGAAGCTAATTTCATCTTGTTCATGTTGAGGCAAAACTCTGACACATTCTGGTCGGTCAAGGATCAAACTCAGTGCAGCACCACTCCTGCTGCAAAAAGCAAGTCAGATAATAACAAGCTGGATATCTGCTGTACCTACAAGTGCTTATTAAGGGATGAACATAATTTTACTTTCATCACTTCCATAGACTGGATGACAGGATATTGACTATTGGAATTGCAACATTTCCAAGTCTCTATCTGAACTCCTGAGCTTACATTCTGAATGGGTTTTATATGTAGTTTGAAAAATATAAGAACTCTCAAGGGGTTTGTACTTTTATTTTCCTTTCTTGTTCTTCAATTTAGAGCTGTACTAGCTTTATAGGTGTGGTTCTTACTTAATCTTACTTTTCTGGACAGTAATTGGACTTGACAGAGGTGAAGGTTTATGTAGTATCTAATAGAATGTCTTCTAACCTGAAACAATTGAGTAACTTCCTCTGTGCCTCCCAAAATGTCCCATTTAATTCTACTCACTTGTAGTTCTTACAGCCTTGATCTCAAAGGATTTCCCAGCATGTCTCAGCTAAGTCTTAAAAGAACTAAAGGAGGTTTAGCAGCAGTTTTCAGTCAGAGGAAAAGGTCTTGCAGCAGAGAACCAGCAGAGACCAGAAGTCCTGAATTGCAGTCCTGGTGGTGTGAATGTTAGACAAGTGCAGTGTTAAGGAGTCAGTGACGCAGGTGAGCAGAGACTATTTCTGGAATAAGCTCCTCCAGAAATAATGCTCCTAAAATCCCATGATTTTTTATCAAATTTATTTGGCCTAAAAGCCTAACATGGACATTTTCAGCATCAGCTCCACATGCAGCAGACACGTGTGAATTGGAGGTGCATCTTCCTGGAGAGTGTGTGCTGTGTCAGTACAGGTGGAGTAGCTGTCACCTTGCACTCTGCCTGAAATGTAATCCTGCAGGCTCATTGAAAAAAATGAGTTTGCAGGTTTTGTTTGAACAGTAACATCCAGGGGCAAGCAGTGAATGTGAACACACAGTGGCTGCTGGAGACCAGGAAGAAACTGAGGGGGGCTGAGGTTGTTTGGTTGCAAAGAGAGCAGTGAAGTAATTCACATAACATATCTAACATAACATATCAGGAGAAAAGACGTATTTTCATTTTCCTTGAGGAAAATAAAACAAAGAAGTGGAGAACAAGCTTATTAACTCTGTTTTCCTAATAGGTCTTATGGTTAATTGACTTCTGTGCTTATGGGTGCTCAAATTCCAAATGTAACTTTCCCTGCTTATTTTTTTGATCATGGAGAAAGATTTTACTCTTTCTGTGTCTTTGCCTTTATTTTTTGTTCCTTTACTTGGGGCACTTTAACCTCAACTGAGGCATCTATTTTCACAAGGCTTTGAAGAATGTAATTATCGCTGTCCTTATCTGTGACACTAGTCCCAGATCCTGAGGCTGGTTGAGTTACCCTAGCTGTGTCCCAGCTCCATGTCAGGACAAGACCCAGTTACATACATTGTACTTGTACAAAGTGCACGGCTTTGGGGGAGTCCCTGCAACTCCAGCAAATCCCTCATTGTGGATGGTTAAAGGGGCAGGGCTGTGATCACACTGGGGAAGAGTATGATCCCAAAAGCTTTGTAAGTCACAGGAAGTTTGGCTAATAAATACAGAGATAATTCCTTTTGTTTTGAGTGATACAAGATACTATTGTTTCATACAACAGCTAAGCCAATTCTGCAAGACCCAGAGTCTTTAAAAAGATAAACTGAATTTCTGGACTTGCAAGGCCAAGTCTGCATCTGGTGTGAATCCAGTGGAAACAGGCTGGTGTGTGGGAAGCTGGCCTGTAGCACAGAATCAGAATGGAGGTCCAAAAGGCCCTCTGGAGTTCTGCTCCCCGTGTCTGCTGCTTTACTGGCCACAAAGAAGTTGGATTCCATTGTGCCCTGTGTGGTGGGGGTTTGCAGTGAATCACAGGTCCTGCTCCCAGGTGGAGTAGTTCATCTCCTAAACCACCCTCTGCTTGATTCAATTAATCCAAGAAAGCTCAGTAATGAGGTGGATTTGGGAAGTGGCTTTGTGTGTTGTTAAGGCTAACCTCCAGTGCACCCACAGGGGATGGGAATTGCAGAACTGGGGCCCTCTGCCTCAGCAAGAAGGAGATTTCATCTCCCCCACCTACTCTACCTGGAAGTGTTACATGTGGAGAGTTGGGTAACAGTCTCCATCGGCCAAACCATGCAATGACATCACCTTGGGAGGAATGCAACAAGAATGTTTCAGGTGATATGAGTAAACGTATTACCAGAACAAAAACTGTGGTTTAAATTCCAGGTGAAGATCAGGAAGCAGAAGTCACACACATCTTTAGGGAGAGACTCAGTGGTACAGGACAGTGAGCCTTGGCTTCATTCCAAAGGCAAGTAACAGCCTTGTTCTGCTTACAAAAAAAGAGGAAAACCAGAATTTATAGCTTGCACTTTATATATTTCTAGGTTCACCAGATTTTGTCTACTGTTTTTCTCACTTTTTAAAATTGTTTAAAATAAAATGTGCAGTTTCCTGATTTTTAAATGTTTATTTTCCTTCTGTTGAGATTGATGGGTCATCAGCATTAAGTATTCTCCTAGTTCTGCAGCTAGGAGTGCTTCTGGGCTTTGGTCCTTTCTTTTTAAAGCAAAGCTTTTGCAGAAAATTTACATTCATCTAAGTATTACCATAAAGAGGCTGGTTAAAAATCCCAAATCAGTCATGCTCTTTGCTTCAAAAGTTCTTCTGGAATGCAAGGAATTTAGTCTGGAACAATTACATTATTTGCAATAGTAACTTCTTAGCGAACCCTGGAATAGTTTATGTGGTTAAAAACCTTTTCAAGAGCAATTGAAAAATTATGTTATCCCATCTATTGTTTAAAGGATTCCATGTGGTGCTGTTCTTTGAATATATGGGAAGAAAATGGAGCCAAAAATGAAAATTTGGCAGGCAAAAAATCCAAGTGCTTGCATTGGCTCTAAATCCAGATATTTACACGTTAATGATCTCATTTGAAAGATGTCTATATTAAGATCTGAAAGCTCTTGGTGTTCCCAAGGGACAAGCTCATTGAATGTTGTGATATACCATGAAACTAAACAATTTTTCTTACTGCAAAATAACCAAGAAATCAGAAATTCAGTCTGTGTGAGTAACAAAGAGCATATTATGAACACAGTCTTTTGGGTAACCTTGCTCAGCAGTACATCAGAATCGCCATTGCAGGGAGGCACAACTCTGCTTTGTGCTTACACTCTCTTTCCTGGGAAGATCTAAAAATATGCCATACCCCATTCAGACTCACTAAAGCTGCATGACAAAGTTACCTGCACACACTGCAACTACTGCAATACCAGCATCTCTACTTGAATCTCTGCTGAAGGCAAGCTTGGACAAAGGCTCCCTCCTGGCAGCTCTGTTATTGCAGCAGAATGTCACAAGAGAGGAGAGAGGCACCAGCAAGACCCATTAAATTTTTTTTGTTAAAGTTAGGATTAAATGTGTGAGATGGTATTTTTGTTTGGATTTAGATGTTTATTAGTTTTTATTTATAATATAGTTTTATAAACTGTAAGTTTCATAGTATTTTATTTTAATAAACTAAAAATGGATCCTTATTTCTTTTTTTACAAAGTTTTCAAGGATAAATTGTTTCATTAAGAAGTGATATTTAAATTATTTTTATTTCTTGCTTAATAACTAATTACCTGTGGTTTGTAATGTGGACTTTTTAATTGAATTATATAATACTATTTAAACTTATGAAGAAGAAGGTGAAGAAGAAGGACTTCTGTTTTGAAATATCTATCTTGTTTTATATATTACTACATTTTAAAACCTTAAACTTTAAGTTTCCTGCTGTGTGATATTACACACTTCCATCCAAACTACACACCTATAATCCCAGTTCTATCATTCAATTTCCACGGCCTCAGGTCAAAATGCAGTGTTCTCTTGGGGTCAATGCCTGTCAGCACAGAAAGTCTCAAATTCTCAGTAACCAGGGTTCCAACAAGTCACCACACATTTCTCAGACCTTATTGAGCAAACCCAATGTAGTCCTGCACGTGGGGACAGCAAGGGGACCCCAGAGAGAACTCTTGTTTTTCACTCTGTGCATGAGATTACACTTTCCTCTTAAAAACCCAGAATAACAACAGGGTTCCTGCTTCTTGAGGCTGTTTTACACTCAAGTATTGCCTGTAGTGGTAGTTCTCTAAGCAGCAGCCCGTGTGAGCAGTAGCATCTCCTGCACTCAACTTCTGAATCTTGAGGCAGCCGGTTCATTAACCTCGATGGGGTGAGTCATGGCAGAGCTGCAGCACTGGGCCATTTATCCTGTTTTCTTCCTCTGAGGCACAAGCAGCTCAGTTATCTCATAAATTCTAATGGTTTGCAATGCCCACTTGCCAAGAGAAGGAGGGAGTGTTGCAAGTACTGTAAAATTCATTGTCCTGTGTGTGTCGTATTAAATGGTGTAGCCAAAAGATTTCCATGTTAAGGCTTCAACAGCAATGCTCAGTTTGGAGTGTTTTATTCATCCAAGTGCTGTTAACCCTCAGTTTGTCCCTTTCAGAACTGTCTTTGGAGACATTTAGAAGGAGGATGGCCAAGAAGACTGAACAGTGTTTGTGTGAAGAGTGGACTGGGCAGATGAAGAGTTGCCACAGGCTTTCAGGGGATCACCAAATCTGTGCCAGTCCTTCAGAGAAATGAGCCCACCCTCTGAAATGCTTAATCCAGGTAGGATTGTTGGAAAGTGTAGTTCAAGGCCTTCCTTCAGGTGGGATTCTTCAATGATTCCTGAGCCTTTTCTGGAGCTGTATAGACAGTGGTGGTCCAATCCAAATACTTATCAATACAGGTTTAAATCCCACATCTTAGGTCAGTGGGTCCATCCAGCTAGTTCAGATATTTCTCATCAATGCCACCCCATCCTTATGAGTCCTTTTATTCACTTTTTCCCTGTTTTCTCCTAAATGCTACAGCAATCTCTCTACTTGCTTCTTTATTTTGCTAGAGTGCCTTTTCCAGACCTATGTTCCTTAGATGCAGACACACAAAACATTTTGTACTTCTATGGCACCTTCTATTGAAGAAAGCCTTTTAGAAGAGCTGGAAGAGAAGGAATTATCACCAATAAACAAGGCTGAGCAACTTCAAAGAGACAGCCTGATTTGCCTGGGGATGCACAAAAATCAGCAAAAGAAAGGAAAAAAAACCTGAACATTTATCTCCTGTCTCCCTTTAGCTTTTTTTTTTCTATAAAGTATATTTCCTTTGCTTATTCATGACACCTTTAAGAATACAAAAAAATCTTCTGACCTTCTTATGAGAAATAACTGAAGACAAACATCTGGTGTAAAATCAATATTTCTTAGTAGGCAAAAAGATCAAACAAACTCATTTTCTATAGGATCTCTCTGATTCTCTCCAAAAGGTTTGCTGCTGAGATAGCTTCCCTGCCTCACACAGGCAGCCTTAAGAAGCTCCTTTCTCCTCTGGGACCACAGGAGGTTTCACATTATGTTGTTAACCTCCCTCAGATCATCCCCTCCATGCACAATCCCAGTCACATTTACATGCAGACATAATGTCACTCAGCCCACTTGATGCCACTTACATCTCCTTGTTGCTATGGGGAACACTGATAAGGAAACCAATTAGCAAATAAAATATTTGAGGCCCAATGTGAAAACCACTGCTCGGTGGATTTGTGTGTGTTAGGCAGTGACATTTCATTTGGCATTTGTCCTTACCTAGCAGAGCTTCTTCCACTGCATTCTGTGTAGTCAAAACATGCTCTTCTTGGGATTTAGAAGCTTAGACGTGCAACTGTATGTGACCCCGGGGAATTTTTACAGCTCTCAGGAGAAGTGGGAGCTTGGAAAGCGCGTTTGCAGCATGGAAGTGCCAAGAGCACCATCCAGTGCTTGAGCTGAGTAAACACACAAGAATTCCGTGGCGCTGGGACAGAGGCAGCTCTGCACATCCCATGGTCCAGCTGCACCTGCTGGGATGCACCAGGACTTCATGGAAAGAGACCACAGTTAGAAAAGGGGAAGGCTGGCAGAGCTGTCAGCCTCTCAGAAGGGCAGGAGACAACCGAGGTCACATCTTTTAAAGAAGAGCTGTATTCTGAGTTGGAGTTACTGACTGAGGGAGCAAGAGATACAAGGAAGGAGGAAGTGGAGGTGGCAATAGATGGGGCCAGTTAAGAAAAGTAGGTGAATTAAATCCATGATGGAGAGGAGAGAGAACTGGGCCAGATACTTATTCTGTTATTCTTCCCCTTTGCAGAGCTGAAACAGCAGAAAGAGACTAGGAGGGTGCACTGGCAGCTGAGAAAATAAAGGAGAAGTGACCTCAGCTGCCACTGCACAGTCTCAACAGCCTGGTACTGCTGGACAAATGTAGGTAGTCCTGGATTTCAAGAATTAAAATAATTTGGAGAAAGGTTTTGCACAGATGTATGCACTAAGTAGTAATTTTTACTACATACGGCTACAGGCTGTTAATGGGCTAGAGAGAAGGAACTAATAGGAGAACAAAGAGTCCATGGGGCTAAAAATGGGCACATACAAAAAATAATGTTATCTATAAAGAAGTGATACCCAAATAGATGTCCAAAAAAAAAGGATGCAACTTTACTGTGGACTAAGAGCTATGCAATAATCTGTGGAAACTCTAAGTAAGCAAGGAAATATTAATTTGGTATATTATGAACCAGATATTTATTAATTAGAGATGAAGAGTGCTCCAATTTAGCACAATATTTGTGGTAACATATTACTAATATACCCTCCCCAAAACAAGACTTTGGGCATAATTTGGAAATGCTGTAATCCAAGACAGCTCCTCTGCTGTGTTCAGTGTTCCCAGGAACAGCTTAGCATATGTTTGCTCTTACTCTTTTTATATTGAACTTGCAAAGAGCAAAGAGAGCAAAACTCACTTCTTTGCTTAATATTAAGCAGTGTTTTGTTTGTGCCCTGTGGCAGAAGTGCCCAGATGGAGTGGGCTGGATACTGAAAACACAAGAAGCATTTAATGTTCTGTGGAGGTCTGTTAAAGTAGTCTGAATAGAACATCTGGTATCAAATATTTGAATAAATCAGTTTCTGTAAGTATTTGGACCTGCTCTGGGTCTGTGCTTTGTTCCAGCTTTGCATTTTCTCTCTTCCTTCCTTGTTGCTAGAGCCAATAGATGATGGTTTATTGCCTGGTGCAACCCATTAAAGTGCCTTTGTTGGGGCTTGGCAATTAGCTGAGCAGAAAGAGTATAAAAATCACTTTGACATCTGTGGGGTTGAAATGGCAACACCGACTTAAGATCTCCCTGAAAGGTTTTTTATCTGTCCACAAGGTGATGGAGAAAGAAGAAAGAGAGGTTATCCAGAGGTTTTGGGAAGAGATTGTCTGATGTGTCTGCAGAGTGGGACCCTGTTTGAGAGCTTTGGTCTGTGTAAAATGTGCCTGCCCACCACAGAGCCCTCGTGGGGATTTATCCATGCAACACCTGCCTGCCAGGGAAGGTGAGTGCTACCCCACAGCTCAGCACAAATGCCACTGCCAGCCCAGCCTTATGTGCAAGGAAAACTCCTGCAGAGCTGAGGAATGTGAAAACAGGAGCTGTGGTGTGTCATAGGACGGATGCCACTCGACAGATGGAGGTGCCCATATTGCAGTCACACAACATTCCACAGCCCTGGTCTTCCCAAAATCATCCCACTGCTGGGCACAGCGAGGAGGGGCAGGCTCTCACATCACCAGCTGTGACTGCAGAGGTGAGTCACAGGCTGGTGCATATGAACCACCCAATTTAGAAGTGTTTGAGATTAATACTTTCACTTTAGGAAATGTTTCAGCCAAGGAAGGCTGAGTACACAGAGCTACTGTTACCCTGGCTGAGACTTTGGACATTTGGCTTCACTCCTGCACAGATTTTCCTATGAGTGGTGTTTTCCCCTGTAAATTTTACCAAGTTTACCTGCTTAGAGGCTCTGACTCCTGGATCTATGACCAAAGCTATGAAAGAGCACCAAATGGGAATTCCTAAATTGCACAATTGAGAGTATGTAAAGCAACTGTTTCATGTATAGTAACCAAGGAAAATGTCTCACAATGTAACATTCTCTGCTACTAAGAAAATAAGGTACTTTGAGTTACATTCCTTTACGATGTCTTGCTATGTTTAGAAGGCTGGATTTCTTCTCTTTTGTCTTGTTTCCAGGCTTGATACATCAAGAAAACTTCAGAGGAGTTATTATTGCCTCACACCAATGGTAAGGCGAAAGAGAAGCAAGTTATTCATGTTTAATGTTGTTTTGTGCCAGATGTTTTGCTGGTAGAAATCCATAGCTCCACAGGCATCAATTTCTTCAGGATCTGGAATGTTTGACACATTTTTTTTTCTCCTTTCTGGATGGTCTGTAAAGGAAGCTGCTTGGTTTTGCAATGTTGAATATTCACGCTGAGAAGTTATAAGCAAAAACAAAATAATGAGAGACAGGGTCTCTAATAAGCTTCCTGTCACATGAGGCTGTGGTTCTGGTGAAGCAGATGTGGTTGCTGACTTGTTTCCAAAATGTTTGTTGAGTGGTGATTATATTCTGTCATAGTGATGTTATATCTCTGTGATCTCATTCAATACAAGTAGTTCTGCAAACAGTGAAATATTTTTTTCCTATGGATTTATATCTTGGATTGTGTTTAGGCATGGATTCTCTGATGTGTAATGGGAATTTAATTCATTTTAGCTTATTTCTTCAATGAGAAATGAATAATCTGTCTTGACTTGGCTGTCAGTTTTCACAGACTTGCAGAAATTAAATATCGTAAGTTCTAAAAATCTGAGTGGGAATTATGAACCAGTTCCAAAACTGTTTGGGGCCAATTCATATAAACAAACATAAACATGAGTCTCATTTTCTTACAAAAGCAAAAGATAAGAATAATCTTTTTTTACTTTGTATTTCCACATTACGTGCTTGATTCTCTGCTGGTTTATTTGTGATCAACCGTAGAAGATATGCTTTATTTGTAAAGTTGTATGAAATATGGGACTTTTTTCCACATTGAATGCATATTAACTCATCATTAATTTATGCTTGTTACAGGCCACACAAGAGGTCACATTCTCTTTTTATTGTCCTTGCTGGAGCATGGGAAAGAGGTGACATGCATTTTAACTTACATGTTTGCACAGACAAGTGCAGAGAAAACTAATTCTAAAGGAAAAATTATCTATTCTATCACCAGTTCTGGTGAAGGAAATGTAGAATTAAAATTATCTTTGGGATTGCTGAGTCCAGTCTTCTGCTCCTGTAGTGAGCCAAGTTTCCAATCTTTTTCATAAACAGCTTGGTGCTATTCAAAAATATGCTCTTTCCTCCTTGTTGTCTCTCCTATTCTCCCAGTTTCCCACTTTATTTGGTGTTTGTTCCAGAATTTCCTTCTTTTGATGGGAAAAAACATTTTAATTTCCATTGTCAGTTTAGATATGTTTCTCTTGTTCTGTGAAATTCCTAAAAAATTAATTACTGCAGGTAGCCATGTCTGTGTAGGGAATAAGGGAGGAAAACCCTTAGAAGAGGACAGAAAATCTTCACTTGGGTAAATTCTTAAGTCTGTTGGAAACTAGGCTTTAACAGCACTTAGCATAAAGTGTTTGTGTATCTGATACTACCAGGTTTTCTGGGACTGGCAAATGAATTATTTAATAATGGAAACTGCATGTGCATGTGTTTGGCTTCTGTAGTTTCACATGATAGAAACTGTAAGAGAGTCTGCAGGGATCACAACTGCACAACCTTGTATCTTACACCCTTTGTCTTAACAGGGCTCAGAAATTCCCATTTAGCTGGGTAAAAGAGAGAGAACAGAGTGGCAAGTCTCAGCTTTTATTGCTAATGCTTTAATGTAAAATAACATCTATGGTCTGTTATGGTCTGTAGATTTGGTTCTGTGTGACTTAAAATTTATTACACCACTTCATATTTGTGCATCTCTCTCCAGTTCCTGGATATTAAAATATTAAAGGTCCAAAAGGTTACCATTATGTTAATAGATCCAGATATACCCAGTATTTAACTTCCCTGTGCAAAGGAACTGCATCAAGGACTGGCTTGTCCTGTTAGCATGTGACAGTGTCAGCCCCGTGTGCTGCAAAGCTTCATGGAGCCCTAGAGAATAAAACAGAAAAAAGCCAAGTGTACGCTCAATGGAAAACAGATGGAGTTTTCATTAGATATTACTTTTAATGATCTGCTTTAAAAGTAAAGATACACCATTCTGAGCAGAAGGGCCTCATAATAGCTGTGTTTGGGTCCCAGGCTCATTAACTTAGCTACAGATAAGCAAGACTGCAAGATCTTTGTATCATTAGAGGTTCCAGTCAAGCTTGCCTACCATTATTAGAATTCCAAACACAGCAGAACTATTTTGGAGCCTTAACAATAATTTATCCTGAAGATGTATCTTTATTTAATGATTCAGAGTTGTTATTATGGGCCTGGCAGTCAGTTGCTCAGTTTCTGGAGTATTACCATTTAACCTAGGTCAGGATAAAAATCCTGGAATATTCATTGCAGGGCAGAGCTGAGGGTCTGTTCTTTACAGTCCACTTGGGTGTGACTGTCCCAAATGGTGCCACTGGCTGTGAGAGGTGACCTCAGCAGTCTACAAAACCTGAAGATCCCTCCTAAAAAGAGGGACCCTGCAATCTGTGCCTGTGGGTACTAAATCAACTTTTGACATGTAAAGAACAATGCAATCCCAGGGTTTTAGGAGTAGATGCTTGCTGCCAAACCACAAGAAATGCTTTTGTCTGGAACTCATGGAGCAGTAACATAGCAGTGGAGGGTGTACCCTTGTCTGTTATTCCCTCTGAGCAATTTCTCAGAGACTTGTTACCAGGATTCAGATAGATTTCATGGAACTAGGAGAGAAATAGGCTTTAATTTCCTTACAAAAGGAGGGAGAGACAATAGAACTCAGCAGAACATGGCATTTTTTTGTTTCTGTCTGACAGTTATGCAAGCAAAACCCAGTGCCCATCTTCAGGCAGTACTTTCTAAAGTGAGACTCATGTGAGAAAATTTGTGTTATCTTTCTTCTGGTATGAGTTGATAAAACTGCTTCATTTCCTCTGCATGTGAGTACAACCTATGTCTTCAGCTGATCTCCAGCTGGGGAGCACAAATCAGAATCCAAGTTCCTCAAAGTTCAAGGAAGTTTGGAACTGATGTTCTGGTTCACTGCTGCCTCTGCAGAAAAATACCTGCATGAATAATAATAAAAAAGCAGCCTCTTGTTTTCATAAGAGGCAGACTGGAAGGATCAAGTCCAGTGACAATCTATCACAAACTGCTAATTAAACACTGTTATGGAACTAGGTTTTTCCCACTCTGTTAGAAACCTTATTTAACTTCCAAACTAGACTTATTGGTTGGCTAGTTTGTTCATATTTAGTATTGTGCCAAAGCTGTCTTTTAGTTTAGATTTTTACACACAAACATATTGCATTAGATTTCCTCTGTTTATAGTTAGGTTTGTGTACCTTAGTTACAACGGTCCAACCCTTTTTCAACAGCATTTCTCCTCTTCTGATTGCTCTTGCTACCTTATGTCCAAGTAATTGCAGTGAATTTCTTCCTTTGTGATTTATTTGCAGACATCAAGGATATCCCCTTGCTATGTTGCTAGAGTGAAAAAACAGCACTTATACAATGGTTTCTTTCTTCTTTAGCCATTCAGTGGCCTTTTCCTGATTCAGTGTATTTGGCCATTTTGAGTGGCCAAATCAGAACAAGCCAGTTCCATCACAGTGGTGATTCCAGCACGAGGTGAGAGGTTCCTACTGTAGTTTGTGAAGAATTTTCACAGGATGAATTCTCAGCAAGTTCTAAGCAGGTGCCTTTCCAAGGTGTCTAGTTATGCAAAGCTCACTCACCAAACTTGTCCTAAGTAAATAATCTGTATGCATCAATGCAAAAATTCACACCTGAAGTGACAAAAGGCTTGCTTTGTACAGGGGAGTTAACCCCTGCACTGCTCGGGGAGCAGCACATGGTACTCCTGGGTGCCATGGTGTCTCTGTGCACACACAGCACTGACTGAAGCTGGGGGAATTACTGCTGCAGTGTTTCCAGAGTCTTGGGGAAGGCAACTTCTCAACTTGGTATTTGGCAGATCTTTGCTGCATCAAGTATTCCACCAATAGATAATTCTGGAGAAATGATTAAGAGGAAATGCAAGTGACCTCCATAGCAAGGTACTCCTGTTGAGAAGTTGAGTTGTTTAAGATGTGTTTTTTAGAGGTCCTGGATACCTTCTAGAAGTTGTTTCTTAAAGCATCTGCATGTTAGCACCCTAGATATTTTAAACTGAGCATGCAAAACCCCAGCATGGATGGGCACTCTTCAATGAGGAGGCCTACATGACTCCCTATAGTCACTTGGCAGCACAATAATAGAAATAGGAACGTGGGATTTCTTATGTCTATTGTGTCCATTAGAACAATACTGCTGAGAGCAACTGAGACCAAAGGCCTGGCCTTCAAAATATATGACTTGAAAAGAAGGCTGCATTTTTTTTGGTAAGGTCCAAATGTATTTCATTCAGCTGTGCTGCTGCTCCCAAAGTTTAGTTGTAAACAAGTCACACATCTGGGTAGCACTGCCTGTAACTGTCTTCATCCTCACCAGGAGTTACTGGCTTCACAATGTTCTGTGTGTGTAGAAAACAGCTTGTAAGAGGTAACCTGAGCAAACTCTTACAACTGAAGAGCTTAAATATCTTCAATGACCTGCCTGCAAAGTAGCCACAGTCTTTGACTTTATGGGTATAACCCTAAAGTCTTGAAATCCTGCATTTTAGCCCTGCAGAGTTCCTCTGATTCTGACTGCTCCCTATCAAATTTCCATGCTGACTCTTTGTCCAGACAGATCAGCTGTCCAGAGCAATGGTGTCCTAACTGCTTTTGTGGGAGTGATTAGAACTATACAGCTATAAAGGGTTTTGTAGTTATACAGCAATAAAACCATTTCTGTACATCATAAACAAAATTAAGTAAGCTGTCAGAATTATCATTACTCAGTGCCAAAATAATGTTGCACCTGAATAACTTTTGTTGAAGTGACAGGTTGTTTTCTCACTGCATAGTTGGCATATCCTGGAAACTTTGGATTCTGCACTCTAGAGACTAAATTTATTTGGATTAATTAATATTTAAAATGTTCTATGCTCCTGATTCCAGCCTCAGCTCCCAAAACCATGACAGAAAAACAACTGGAAGATATACCCACTGAATTCCAGTATGGACAGGGATCCACAGAAAGGGATAGGGAACTTGGAGACTCCCAATTTGTGCACAGCTGATACAAGGCCAGGGTTTGGAGTTCTTGGCTGCTGACAAGATGAGAAGGGGACATGACCTG